CGGGCTTTGGGTTTCAGAACAAACTATTTGGCTTTGGGTTTAGGGTTTAGGGTTTAGGGTTTAGGGTTTAGGGTTTAGGGTTTAGGGTTTAGGGTTTAGGGTTTAGGGTTTAGGGTTTAGGGTTTAGGGTTCAGAACAAACTATTTGGCTTTAGACTGCTGGGTTTACGGCTTATAGGTTGTAAACTTTTCGGGCTTGAGGTTAAGCTTTCGAGAGGGCTCATTATCAAACATGCCCCGGACCGGCATGCTAGACGACGGCCAGGGAGCCTGCAACTTCGCGCGCTACACCCTCGGACCCGGACAAATCCTTAAACCAAAGCGAGGAGCCCTATTTGAGCCCTGTTTGAGCCCTATGAGACTCAAACCCTAAACCCTAAACCCTAAACCCTAAACCCCTAAACCCTAAACTGGGGCCACTGTCTCCACGTCAAGCCCCCCGCAGCTGCGAGCTTTGACTCATAGAGCAGTTGAAGGAACCCTGAGACTAAACCCTTCTAGGACCTACCTTAACCTACCATCACCCGCTTTTTTGGTAGGTTCTTACTATAAACCCTAATATGGGATTCATAGGGACCCTACCAAAAAAAGGCGTAGGTTCTGGTAGGTTAAGGTAAGCAGCTGGGCCTCCGGGACTGGCTCGCTGCTGGCGAGGGTCAGGTCGATGGCAGCCTGATCACTTAGGTCTAAGGGCTTTAGGAGGGACCCTTAATAGGGACCCTTGTAGGTTATTGGGGTTAATATGGAGATATAAAGGGGTATATAAGGACTATACAATGGTTATTTTGAGGTAATGGGATTAAGGGTCCCTATTAGGGGTCCCTCCTAAAGTCCTTAGACAGACGCCGAGTCCTAGTCTGAGGCTTAGGGCTTACAGGGTTAGGGGTTCCTCGACAGCCAGGCATGATGCTCGGAATCGATTACGTAGGAAGTTAGCGCAAGAGATCGCAAGAGCATAACTTGAATAGAACAAAGCCCCTGTATGATGGTTTAGGATCTTTTAGGGTTTGGGTTTAGGGTTTAGGGTTTAGGGTTTAGGATTTAGGGTTTAGGGTTTAGGGTTTAGGGTTTAGGGTAGAGTCTCGGAAAACCCTAAACCCTCCAGCCTTGCTGGCCACGGCCAGTTTCGAGACGCGCTTCCGCCTGGTCCACTGCGGTCATGGCTTGAGGGCACGGATTGGGTCGCCCTTGGAGGTAGTACCAGAACCCCTTTCGTTGATGGTTTCCTTTCTGCCTTTCCGTCTGGCCATGATGCAGGTCGCTGCTCGAGGTCTGTCGTTCTCTGTAGCTCCCACTCTCCGTGGTCCTCTTCTGTCTTGGTAACGCCCAGTCCTTCCTGCCTGTCTGAGTGTCTGCGTCTTCGTCTGTCCAAGTTGGCTCGGCGCTTGCAACTATACATTGTATCTTGTGTTGGTGTATCAGATTCTGACATACGTGCGCAGTGTGGGGCATCCTTCGTGTGCTACCTTTCCCCAGTATAACAAAAGCATAGAAATGGCAATTCGTGAGTGTCCCATACAGACCCACTCACCCTCTGAGGACTTCGCAAATGCAGTCGAAGAGGCACGTTTTGCACCTGCCGAAATGGGTTTCGGGATGCTCCATGCAATGCGACGACCCCGGAACTTTCGTCCTGGTAGCAACGGAGACTGGCAAATTCGAGCTGTTGAGTTCGAAAAACTGCAGAACCCTCGCCCCATGGTCGAGAAATCTTGATGCACAAGGCACCTAAACCCTAAGACCTAAGAATCCCAAACCCTAAACCCTAATTAAAACCCTTAAAACCCTATAAGCCCTATAAGCCCTATAAACCATATAAACCCTATAAGCCCTCTAAACCCTATAAACCCTATAAGCCCTCTAAGCCCTATAAACCCTAAACCCTAAACCCTAAACCCTAAACCCTAAACCCTAAACCCGAAGCCAGGCTAGGATTCACACAGCTCCAAGGTCCCTGCCTCCATCTCCTCCCAGATTTGCTCTCGGTCGAAGCCTTCCAGGTGCGACGACTGCGACACCGAGGTCCCTTCCTTCGCCCCTATCCCTAAACCCTTAACCCTAAAACCTAAACCCTAAACCCAATCGGGTTTCAGAGACCCTGAAGATAGGGACCGAGCATCTCAACTTCAAGTCCCCAATCGTTTCCATGAGCCCTGGCTTGCAAAAATAGCGAAGGACGGCTACTTCACATCCCACGCGCCCCTATCTCCAGCAACCTGAAAATACGCACGCCCTCCCCCAAAACCCTACATCTTGCCCGGACGGCTTGAACTCGAATTACGTGTATGTAGGTGTGTGTATACATATGTACATGCATATATGTACCTATACGCATAATTAGTTATTATCAATTATATTGTACGCTTAGAGATATGGTCTTCATTCGCTCTCTCCTTTCCCGTCCCCGCCATCCACCAGCAGCCGTGGCAGATCCTTCGCATTGCTGCGGAGAGCTTCGGGGCTCCGCACCTTCCAAGAACGGAACAACTCGAAGTCTAAGGGAGCTCAGGTTGGGTTTAGGGTTTAGGGTTTAGGGTTTAGGGTTTAGGGTTTAGGGTTTAGGGTTTAGGGTTTAGGGTTTCCGGGGGTTTAGGGTTTCTGAACCTTTCCGGTGTAGGCTTTAGGGTTTCCGGGGGTTTAGGGTTTAGGGCTCTAGGGTTTCGGATTCCAGGTTTCTAGTTTCGGGCAGTGTCCTTCCCCCAGGGCCCAATCTACTACCTCGTGAAGGAGGCTTCCTCGAAGTAGACGGGCTCAAACTTAGCTCCTCATGAGTTTTAAAAAGAAGCCAGTCAATGCAGAGTCTGACATCAGTATTCATGAGGAGTGCTGCTAAACCGGTATCGTGATTGATGTGGCCATTAGCTTTCTCGTGCCACCACCGGTAGCTCATTATTTGCCATGTGCAGCCTTCTTAGCCCTCAACCCTAAAAGCCGACACCACTACACCCTCAACCCCTACACCCTCTATCCTACAACCTATAGTAGAAGCCCGAAAGTTGGAAACCAATAGCCTCAATCCTCAAGAGTAATGTAAAGGAAATCCCAGCACTATTTGTCCTTAATCCGGTTTCCAACTTTTTGGGGTTTACTATATAGTAACCCCCAAAAGTTTTTAAACCGGATTAAGGACAATTTGTGCTGGGATTCCCTATATATGACTCTTTAGGATTGAGGCTATTGGGTTTCCAACTTTTCGAGGTTTACTATAAGCCCAAAGAAAAGGAACTACAATGGAGACCCTAAACCCTAAACCCTAAACCCTAAACCGCTATAGGGTACTAAAAAACCCTTTCAGGTACCGCCTGGCCCTCGTCGAAGAAGAGCTTCACGAAGGACCGCGCGCCCTGGTACTTACACAAAAGGACATGGGTTTAAGTTTAGGGTTTATATAGGGTTTAGGGTTTAGGGTCTAGGGTTCATTAGGCTTTTCTATAGGGATTTGGGGGGTTTATTAGGGGTTCTATAGGGATTTGGTACTAATGGGTTTTATTAGGCTTTTCTGTAGGGATTTAGAGTTTATTAGGGGGTTCTATAAGGACATGGTACTAATACAAAAGGGCATGGGTTTTATTAGGCTTTTCTATAGGGATTTGGGGTTTATTAATTAGGGGGTTCTGTAGGGATTTAGGGTTTATTCAGGGGTTCTATAGGGATTTAAGGTTTATTGAGGGTTCTATAGGGATTTAGGGTTTATGAATTAGGGGGTTCTCTTGGGATTTAGGGTTTATTCGGGGGTTCTATAGGGATTTAGGGTTTATTCGGGGGTTCTACAGGGATTTGGGGTGTGGGGTTTTTTCTTATCAAAGTTCAAAACGGGTTCCTATCAGGATCAAGGGCACCGTAGCGTAAGATAACGGAGTGCGCTGTATAACTAGTTAAATTAACCATTAACCCCGTCTGAATACTGTATATATGTATGGCACTATTGTGCATATCGAACATGCAACTGGAGCGAACGACTGCTCGCTCGTGCCGCGGACATCCCTAAACCTCTGCGAAACGTGACAAAGATCCTACAAGAACCTACTAAGCCTTATAGAACCCCCTAAACCCTGAGTAGAATCCTAAACCCTAAAAAGGAAACCCCATGCAAAAACCCAAAGAAGTCGAACCCTAAACCCCAAAAAGGAAAAACCCTATGCAAAAACCCAAAGACTTACGAATTCGAACCCTAAACCCCAAAAAGGAAACCCTAAACCCCAGAAAGGAAACCCCAGGAAGTCGAACCCTAAACCCCAAAAAGGAAACCCCAGGAAGTCGAAGGAGCAACGCTTGGCCTCCGCTGCCGACTTGGCCTCCGGTGACGTCGGATCCAGGAGCCACTCTGCCCTGTGGCCGTGGCCCCACTCAGATAAACATGCGCACGTGTGTCTGTGCGTATTTATATAGACTTATACATAATATATATATATATATGTTTATATATATATATATATATGTTTATATATCTATATATCTATATTATGTATGTATATATATACACATACAGACATACCAATATTTGTCGGTTTGTCTGCTTATAATATATACATACACATGTATGTATCTAAACAGTTAGTTAGTACATGTAGACAGGTGTCGATGGCAGGTGAAAGAAGCATGCAATGACTCCATTCACAACTCGCTTCACCCTGAACCCTAAACCTTAAACCCTAAACCCTAAATCGTGGCTCCCACCCTGCTGTCTTTGCAGCGAAGAGAGACGGCCAGGCTCCCTTCGCCGTTACAGGTTATCAAGAGTCAGGACAAGCCCCGCCGCTTAAAATCCATAAATCCATGAATCTCGATCCATCCGTTCAGTCTTTGATTCTCAGAGAGAGAGAGAGAGAGAGAGAGAGAGAGACAGAGAGAGAGAGAGAGAGAGAGCGAGAGAGCGAGAGAGAGAGAGGGAGAGCGAGAGGGAGAGCGAGAGGGAGAGCGAGAGGGAGGAGAGGGAGGAGAGGGAGGAGAGGGGGGAGAGAGGGAGGAGAGGAAGGAGAGGGAGGAGAGGGAGGAGAGGGAGGAGAGGGAGGAGAGGCAGGGGAGTAAGAGCGCAAACGGGGATGAGGGCGGTGGAGAGACGGAGAGAGGGGAGATGGCAAGCAGCATGGAGGAAAGGTTGAGGCGCAGCATAACAGGCCAAAAACGCAAGGCGCGGGCCGACGAAGGCGAGGATGCACATGGCCAGAATGCCACGCCGAGGACAGGAGGAACGCAGCAGGACAAGCCAACAGCGCAGAGAGGCGTGGCTGGAAGAAGCAGCGAGAGACAAGAGCAACGGCCAAAGGCCGTGCCGAGGACAAGGGAGGAATGCAGCAGGACTGGCCAAAAGCGCGTGAAGGCACGGACCGAAGAAGGAGAAGAGTAATATGGCCAAAGGAGGACAAAAGAAGGCAGCACGACAGGCCCGTAGCGCACGGAGGCGCGGCCTGAAGAAGCAGCGAGAGAGAAGAGCAACGGCCAAAGGCCACGCCGAGGACAAGGGAGGAATGCAGCAGGACAGGCCAATAGCGCATAGAGGCGTATGGACAAAGGCCACGCCGAGGACAAAGCAATACGCAGCACGACAGGCCAAAAGCCTTTCAGAGGTGCGGCCAGAATGAGGAGCGAGATACGAGAGAAACGGCCAAAGGCCATGCCGACGAGAACAGGCCAATAGCGCACAAGGGCGCTGCCCGAAGAAGCAGAGACCGACGAGAAAGCAGGAACGCAAATGCTGACAGACACGCAGGCAGGGACAGGAACGAAAGGTCAGAACAGTCGTACACCAAGCCGCCGCCATACAGCCAGGGAGGGAAATAGGCAAGTAGGATGTAAAAATCCTAAACCACGCCGCCACCAGATGCAGGAAGCATTGTTGGCCACAACAGCAACAACAATAACAGGAGAGCGCCAGGTCAGTTGCAAAGCAACAAGCCAGCCTGTCACAACCAAGTGTCTGTGCGAGAGCCGGAAAAGCTAGAAACACGACCGGACGCAGCAGGTAAAGAGAAATGAAGAAGAGAAAACGAAAGAGCGGAACATGGCACTGTCGCCCAGTGGAGGGACTGTGGGCGGCCGGGGGGAGGGTGCTCGTCGGCGATAGGGACCGCCTTAGGGCCGCCCTCTGGGGTCCCACCCCCAAATAGCCAACCCCAGTCCTGTAAGCTCCATGGGCCCACCAAGCTCTTTACAAAGGAACCCAAGAATGCTCCTACCCAATGCCTCTCTCCTCTGCCCCATCATTTGTTGCTGTTCTAGTACCAACGTCCCTTCGCATGCAATGATAGTAGCAAATTAGGTATATTTGTGTGCTACATTTGCCCTGCCCGTCCTCTCTGCATCGTGCGGCGCTGCATACAGGCGACCGCGGTAATGAACAGAGCCGCTCCATAATGCCTGTTTATCGGCATCATTTTCTGCCAGTTCGGATGTGTCCAATGCAGTGATGTTTAATTTTCTCGTGTGCATAACAATCAGCTGCGGAGAGCGGTGCGGTGTAAGGAAGAGTTGTCCTTTCTCCACAATACATCCAAGCCAGTTCCACTCTCCCGATTTAACGTAGTAGCGGCGGGGGTCGCTTTGTTTTCTTCTTCCTTCAGCGTAGGTGGAGAGGTCGACAAACGATACATTCTGGCCTACCAGGTCCATGGTTACCAGGTGTTGCTGGCCATGTCCAGGAGTCATGAATAACATGCCGTCCCCCACGGCGATGCTGCCGAATGTGTCGCCTTGGCGTGCCACCCTGTCGAGACTGATGGTGTGGATAGTTCTGGCAGCCACATCAAAGACCAGCACGGCCATTGCCCGGTCTGGCGAGGCATAGACCTTATGGCCATCTGTAGCTGTGCCCTTCCATTTGTCGCCAGAAAAATTTCCCAGTCCGGAGCGCAGTTCCTTTAGTCTCCCACTTGACGTATTCAACAGTAGGATACCGGCTGCACTTCCTGGTGTTGCAATGAGGAGGTCACCAACCACAGCGCAGCCGCCATACTTGGCACCAGCATTGCCAGCAAGTTGTGTGATTTTGATTTTACGTGTGGGACTAGGCTCCTTACACTTGATCTCCGAAGGACGAATCTGGACTCCAGGTTTTGACTGGCCAAAGCGCCAGGATTCATTGCAGGCTGGCGCTTCACAGAAACAGAGTTGCTCGTGCCCTGGCTGCCAATTGACACGGTAGAATGCAGTCGTTCTGTCCTGCTGAATCGGACGCCCCACTCCAGCGAGCACGTCTGGCCAATTGCTCACACCTCAGGCACTGGCAAACACAACGCACAGGCTTAACGTTGACCCGACAGAAACTGTGCCATTGACGTGTTCGAACAGAGGCACTGGTACTCCCACAGGCTGTTGCGCTTGGAAACAAAGCCACTCTGTCGTCCGGCAAGAAATCGCTGCCCTCGACATGGATACTCACCGCAACAACGCCTGGAACGAGTTGCTTACCCCGGGGGCGCAGTCCACAATCCAGTGACTGCAAGGTAGCTTTCTCCAAAACACCTGCCACAACATCGGACAAAGTTTGCAAACCGGTGAAGGGAGCCAGGATCGCAATGGTGATCGCCCAGCTGGATTGGCGGTTACAACGGTTACAACCCTGCACAGATCGTGGAGTTGAAAGCCAATAACCTAAAACTCTGCTCACACCCTGGATCCTTTTGCCTTCCCTTATGCGACCAGTCTTCAGGGACTTCTGAACTCTGCGCTAGAATGCTTTGGTGTAACCTCGAATTTCTTGTGAACAGCAGCCTAGGCCAACTCGCGGGTGCTTGTTGTCCAAGAAAAGGCCGTCACCTCCATCTTTAGCTGCTGTGTCATACATCCGAATGAGCTCATCCACCCCGGCTGGGTATGAGAAGGGGGGAAACTGCTGAAGGTAAGGAGCTGACAGGGGCAGGTGATCTGGCAGCTCTGCCAAGAACTTGGGGTGGATGTTGATGCCATAAAAGCCTGTCTCGTTGATTTCACGTTGAATCCTGTCTTTTGAAATGGCTGGCCAGCTGAAAAGATTCATCTCTTGCTCCATGATCCAATCCAGGAACTTCTGGCGCTGCGGAAGGAGGACTTGCTCGAGGTATTCGCTCTGGTTGGCGACGTGGGGCAGGAAGTTGAAGACAAGGTCTAGGTGCTTGTACAAGTGGATGCCAAAGGAACGGCGCAACTCCTTGATCATCAGCTCCCTCATTGCCACGCCACGCTGCCAAGCAGCGTTCAGCACCCACACGATCCGGTCGATCTTCTGGTTCTTGTTCTTCTCCAAGATGTCATCAACTGTCTGGCTCCACATCTTGGCATCTTCTTCCTCACCCCTCGTGTCACCTCTGCCAGGCGTATCAATCCACTCGAGATCCGAAAGCAACTTAGCATCTGCAAATGGATGTGCTTTCACAAATGCGACCTTGCTCGTGTGCGACTTCATCGTGGCGCTGGGTGAGCATTTCTCTTTGTCCCCTGTCATCCAGTAACAGAGCTCAGACTTTCCTGTACCAGTCAGCCCAACGGCCAAAAATGTCACAAGACGGCCTTGCACAGCCGTCTCTTCGTCGTAGGCATGCTTCAGCAGCATGTTGCGCTCCTGAACGACTTGATGATACCGCTTGAGAACCCCTGCGGCATCACCTCCGAGGTTGAAGTCCTGCGATGGATGCCAACTTTCAACAATAACAAAGCTTGTGCGCTGTGCTAAAGTTGCCAGCCTTTTCCTCAGGCACTCGCAAATTGGCAGTGCAATTAGTACATGCTTAACTGACAGCATACAACGAGTCCTCCATGGCATTCACCGTTGCACGCAGCTCTGCGATCTTTTGACCGAGCTGGGCCAACCTCACCTGCCGATTCAGCATGTGGACCTGAAAGGTGTAGCTACAATTCTGAATGCTCGGACCACTCAGGTTCTGCCGGGGCCGCAGGGATAAGACCAGGCTGTATGTCCCACCGTCCCGGTCTGCCAGCACGTCCTCGTGCAGAGCAAAGCTGGTTTTGTCAACTGGCTCGACCTTAGTGCTGACTCCGTTGCGTGCCATCCTCGCTGAATGCACTAATCGTTGGTTTCTACGACCCCTTTAAGCCTAAAAGATACTTACTTCCGAGGTGCGCTCACCTTGCGACACTGGACTCCACTGGTGTCACACCACTGTCCTGAAGGCTCCACGCGGATATGTGCCTCGTCTAGCTTAGCATCCACTCGCAGCTGAACTTCCGCATCACCTGGCATGTTCACGCTGGCTTCGTAGACACGACGATGGACCTGGTAGTTGCCCAACGAAGTGCTGATGTTGCCAAAGCGAGCGCTGCCCTCGACACCTGCAACGAGCCCATCTCTTCAACGGTAACTCTCATTTTGCCGGTGCTTCCTGTTGCTTGAATCACATCGTGAACTTTACACCCTCGCCGACTCAGTAGCAAATTCATTGGTGCTGAACGTGATAAGCATAGGTAGATTCGAGTGTCTTGCTCGAGGTACCGGTGTGCGACAATTGATGAACAGGAGCATCGAGAGCTCCTCCGAGTCTTCGGTGTCTAGATTTACTCATTTCCCTACACATCAACTCTCCCCTAGACCCAAACATTTGGTGCTGGTGGCATACGTGTTCAAGCCTTTCCCGCCCGCGCCTCGCCCCGCCACTTCCAGCATATTACCAATGTGATCCTCCTCGACCACATCTCTCCCAGACCCCCTGCGCCACGCCCCCCTGCGACTTCGACCAAACATGACCCCCCCCCCCCCACCACACATCATTAGAGAGAACCAGCCCATTGCAGAATCGCAGTCCTGTGCTGAGTCAGTTCGCCAGCTGTTGCTTTTAGCGCTAGCACACGCTTTCGCACTCGCGCTTGGACTGGTGCTGGCCCTAAGTCACCTCACGCCGTCGAAAGTCGCTTCACGGCCCGCTTTCCCCCATGGTGACTCGCGAACCGGCGAAAGTCAAATCATGCGTCAAAAAGTCACAACAAATTAGTCCATCACCAGGCTGACGCACGATATGACATGGCATCGCCACAGAAGGAGAACACTGCGATTCGATGGAAACGCTGCGACATCCCAGCCTTTCCCCATTTAGACGCTCGATTTCACAAGCATGCCCGCGAGACATACGTCAGTCACATGAACGGCAGCATAGCACATCAAGAACGGCCAATCCCAATGTAGACACTCGATTTCACAAGCGCGGGCGCAAGACACACACCAATGGCATGACAGCGCGTCCAGACCTGCCATTCTCCACGAAAATGCTCCATTTCACAAGCACCCACGAGAGACACACATCAATGGCATCACATGATAGTGTCATGACAGTACATCTACACTATGCCCATGTAGATGCTCGATTTCACAAGCATGCGCTTGATACACTCTACATCATAGCAGCAGTCATAGCAAGTCCAAACCAGCCATTCCCCACGTGGACCGCTCCGTTTCACAAGTGCCCGCGACGGACACACATCAGTGGTATCACATGACAGTACATCCACGCTATTCCTGCATGCAGACACTCGAAGCGTGCGAGACACTGTGCGAAGCCTTGTGCTGACTACCACGACTCCGCCACTAGCACTATGCCGCTACTATCAGCGCGTTTGGGGTGAGGTTGGCTAAACCTGCCATGTATGGATCCGGTCTTGCTCACATGGTCTCAAGTAGTCTCGCATCTTTAAGTCGATGGCCTTGAAGTGCCAAGACCGTGAAGGTGTATTGGCGCATGCACAGGCCGTTCAACATCAAGTGGCAGGTGCCGAACATTTGACTGGGAACTGCAGCTGCCATAAGCAGATCCTCGGGGCTGGCCGTGGAGCTTGGCGTTCGGAGGAGCAAACATTGGGGCCACAATATGCCACAATGAATGGTACGGAGAGGACCTACCAAGATGAGGCAACGACACTGGAGTCCCAGAGTGGATATGAGACGGCCTCCGGTCTGTTTCGTAATGGCACCTGACAACAGACTGTACCCACCTACTACCTACTTACCTACCTAACCAACTACCTCCCTACCTGCCGACCTACCTACCTACCCACCCACCCAACTGACCAATCTTGCCTGCCTGCCTGCCTACCTACCTACCGACCTGCCGCCCTTTCGACCTGTCTTCCCACCTACCTACCTCCTATCTAGCCGCCTACCTCCCACACCCTAAGCGAGCGTGGTACGCATTGCGCTTGATCAGGAGTCTGAGCACAGCCCGAAAAAGTCGAACAACACGAAAAGCTAAAAACATGGAAAAAAGCCGAAAAACAAAAACTGACATTATTAATACTATTACTACTACCATTACCATGACCATGACCATTGCCATTGCCATTTGCCCCATTACCATTGAAATTAACATTACCATTACTATTAGTATTACTATTTCTTTTATTTCTTCTCTTACCGGACTATTGCTATTACTAGCACCAGTACTACTACTATTATGCTTATTATTATTGCTATTATTCTTATTACTTGTTCTGATTACTATTTCTACTATCCTTGGTACTACTATGACGATGTTCATTCTTACCACTAGTACTACAATATTATTATATTATTATCGCTATTACTATTACCATTTTTTATGACTAATAACATTACTAGTACTACTATTTGTCTTACTACCACTATTATTGTTATTTCTTGCAAGTAATAGTAATATCAATGCTACTACCAGTGTAACAAGATTGACTCCTGCCACTACTACTGATACCATTATTGTTAATATTCCTAATGCAAACAAAAACTATTCCTAGAACTACTTTACTAGTACTATTGCTACTACTCCTCCTGCTGCTGCTGCTGCTACTACTACTACTACTACGACGACTACTACTACTACTACTACTACTACCACTGCTACTACTACTGCTGCTATTGCTACTACTATTTTCATTCCAATCACAGCCGGTCTCTCAGCTTGGCGTCAGGTACGTGGCAGCGCGTTGCACCGGTGCTTCAAGAGCACTAGAACCACATGGGCAAATCCCGCTACGAATAGCTGCAGACTTGAATCCTACCCATCGTATTCGCAAGTCCCAGCGTTCTC